AGACTATATAAAATATTTATGCATGTACATATATATGTACACACGTGAGTAAGAATTTTTTTTTGCATTTTGGTTGCTTCAGCTGATTAATAAAACGTTTACGTGGTGTTCATTGAAATATTTCATTCGCAAATATGTACTTATGTACATATGTATAATTTGCACGTTTGAGGTTAAAAAGTGGATAAGGATGGAAATACATACTTATATAATATGTATGAAAGTACATATGTATGTATGTAATAGGACAGAGTACTTAGTGTGTCGATAAATTAAAATTGTATTCATAAAAAATACATACATATGTATATTAATTTATTAAAGTGACAATATGTCCATGTCTAGATTATAAAATTCGAATTTTCTTAAGAAATCTAAATAGTTCTTTTATTTTATAATTGAAAAAATAGAAGTGCATATTTTGAGAAAAATTAAAAATAGTATTTCGCGGTTTCGAACCAACGGCCCCACGAGTGTATAGAAACAATTCTACTTTTTGACCTATAGTTGAATATATGTACCTATGCCATATTTCAGCTCCTCTCTTTTATGCAGATGTATACGGCGATCCTACGACTGCAATTTTTTATATATGTACATATACATACATATGTATTACAAAATTCTTATTATTAATTTTAGGGTAGTAGTCAAAAAAAAAAAAATAAAAATAATTCTTCATATCAATATGAGCAAAATCTAACAAGTCAATCACCAATTGTATTTGATACTATTTTCGAATAGACGTATAGAGTGCAGTATATGTACATACCATAAGCTAAGCAATCAATGGATTGGGTAATAAATAAAAACAATGAGTTTGTACATTTTTAAGTTTTAATTGTTTTCGTCCTAAGATTAAGATTTAAAACCAAGTCTAATTTTTTGTCACCACGAGGCGTTTGAAAAATTATTTAATTCCTAGCAAAATAAACAAAATATTTTTTGTACAATTTCATATGTGGATGGTTTGGGTCAGTGAGCTTCAGCATATAAAACTTAACCTCAGACAACGATGGTACTCGGAGATTGTCGCAATTGAACTTATTCTTATGAAGTGACATGCGATTTCAACCATTTTTACAATTTCAAATGCTAAACATATTTGTTCTGAGCAAATTTGGTTGATTTAGCTTAAGTGGTTTGAGAGATACATATGTATATATGTATGTACATTAAACGTACTAATTGCAGTAGTAACATATGTACTTATCTACATATATAGTTATACCGTAAGTAATGTGGTATATTTATTGCCATCCACCGAACTGTGATTTTAAGATTTTAAGAATAATGTATTCCGCGCTCCAAAATATCACAATAAATCACGAAACCAAACATAAACAATCTTAATATTGCCAACGCAGACATTTTCTCAATTTTTTTTTTTTTTTGAAAATGCCTAAGATTTTTACTAAAAAACCATATCAAAGGTGATGTCGGGCTCGGGCACTCGTCCTTTCTCTGTAATATGACCAAACTGCAGCTTTGTATAGTGACGTCATGTGCTTTCGACTTAAAGTATTTCACTGATATTCAATTTTAAATAAACATTCGTGAAATCAAACTTGCAATACAAAAAAATTATCCTATAAAATAATACCAAGGATGAAATGATGCGAGACTCTTTGAATCGAGAGAGAGCTGTCAAAACCCACATTTTTTATAACATTTGCCAACCATGCCACTGTCGAAAGAAAATGGATTGGGTATTATAAAAAAAACTTTTGGGTATTTTGTATTTCAATATTATTTTTAGGTGCTCCGTCCCCGAGTAGGCCTTTATAACGCATATACATCCCTATATACGTATATTTATATTATAAAATTTTTTAAAAATCATATAACATAAAAAAAATTGCATATAAATAAAAAAAAATTATAACAAAGAAACAAAACAAGTCATAATAAAAGATCATGGTTTTATAATGAACGTTTTAAATTAAATTAACAAATACAATTTAGTTGCCCGTTATTCAAATGTATTTGTGTCGTTCCTTGAAATTTTGTTTCGCACTGCTTTTGTTAGCTATTTTTAGCTGGTTTGTTTCTGGCATCCCGCCTTTTTTGACATCAGCTGTTCGAAATTCCCTGATTTTAATAATCAGGGAAAGAGAATAACAGAAAAATCAGCGAAAATGAGAGAGTCTCGTATCATGTCATCCTTGATAATACAGCAAGAGAGTTTAAGCGAGAAACCACTGCACCACCTGCTTTGACTGTTCGCTCTCTCTGAAGACGCATACAGCGATTTATACCTATAAGTAGCATCATATCTAGCTCCCACTTTAATATAAGCCTTAGATTAATTTCTTAATACATTTGAATTTATTAATTTAAAATTTGTTTAGACCACTCAGAAGTCGTTTTATCCTTAAAACGAGCGATTCTCGAAAAACATCGATCTCAAATATGCCATAAGAACAAAATTTGGAAGAAAGGTTATAAACCTCACGCTGTCAGATTAAACGATTATACTCCTCATCGTGGGCCCGATACTTTCCGTAATTGCAAAGAAAGTAAATGAAGATGAACTACTACAGATACCATGTGAATGTGATATAGGTTTAACTTTAACACACCAAATGGCAAACACTTTAAGGTGAACTGCTATAAAAGTAGTGAGAACTAAACAAAGCGGTTCTGCAAAGCAAGTGAATAATTACAAAATGTTGATGAACGAGAAAACTGTGTGAATAATTTAACACAACAAAAAAACCTAGGAGAAAATTAGCATTTTACTTAACAATTCATTAAAATGTTAGTGGGTGACCGCTACAAAAGCGAAGCAGCCATAGCTCTATCATATGCTATGTGTGTATGTATGTTTTTTTATATTTGTTCTACTACAGGACATAGGTGGATAAACTTCAGGTAGCCAGGTACTAGGAATTAAAATACCTAAGGGCTGCTAAAATAAAAATGTGAATTGAATTTTTCCTACAAAATGTAATGTATTGTACATTATGAAAATTTTGGAAAAAAATTCAATCATGTTATAAATGTGATTGTACATATACATGTAGCTTAAGAAAACTGTCTCCAAGTATCAGTTTAATTGTAACGGGAAGATCCTCCACTTTACCGTTATCTAGTTATTTTCTTTGATCGGCATTAGAAGATCATATTCTCATTTCAAAAGCTTGAAAACATTTTCGTTTGTGGATTTAGTAGAAATTTGAGTGCTCTACAAATGTCGTTCTTACGGTAAAAAAAAGTATTAAAAAAAGAATGTCATACGATTCTTCAATTATCTAGTGGATTATCCTTTTCTCTTCATACTTCTATAAGATTCCCGTATGGGCGTTGGAATCCACAAGTTTCGCCTGTATCCTCTGCCGCGCATTCCTCCATTATTATATCCTGGGCATAATTCTTCGATGGTATATGAAGTGTTTTCGATTCTACCTCGAACCAGTCCCATAAATGCTTAATGGGTTTAGGATCGCGAGATTGAGGAGCGTTCGCAATTGGTTTTTACATGTATACAAAAGCCAAGTGCTTCAATTTTGCGCATATGTTTGGGGTCGTTATCTTGTTGGAACCAAAAACTTTTCCCAACCAGATTGCTGAGCACTTTGCAGAAAGATTATCTTTCAAAATGTTTTGTTATATAGTCTGCTGGGTTCATTTTGAGGTCTAATAAATGTGAGTTTTTAAAAATACGTTAGTTGCCATACAGCCCCAAACACTAACACCGCTTCCACCACGTTTTACACTTGGCACCATATCATCTTTTATCATATGTTCTTTCCCGGTTTTCCTCCATATAGTTTATTCCCTTGTATTCCACGAAGATGTAAAACTTAGTCTCGTCGCGTAAAAATAAACGCTTTTCCAAGAATTCTAGGCGCTTTTGAAACATAGGCATTCGACGCCATCCATGCGTGTTCTGCGTATTCACTTTCACGAAAAAATAGGGTTCCTACGTGCTCATAGGCGTTCATATCCAGGCATTTTTTCACAGTTCTACGGGCGGGTATCATCCGGAACAAACTTTAGAAAACCTTTCGCTTCCACTCCCAGTTGCAATTGACGCTTTGTTTCGCTGTTTGTTAGGTATGGTGGACGACCAAGCACGCTAGTTTTGTAGGTAGTAAGAAAAATGAGTTGAAATTTATTTTTTTACCACTTTATGTACCGATGAATGAGTTCGGCCTATTATTTTTCCAATTCTCCTTAACGATTTTCTCTTAAAATACAATTTTATGATGATTTTTCTTTCATCGGTACCGATTTCCTTGCATGTCTGATTTAAAGATCTCTTATTTTTTTTATCACTTGAAACAAACTAAAAGTGTTAATGCCCAAACAGTCACCGACATTCCTTCCTTCCTTAGTTACCGCCCGTATCAATCGAAATTTGTCAAAAGTTATACCCGTAGTTGCAACGCAGAAATCAGTTGTTCCCTTTTGTTTTCATTTCACCAATATTGCCATTGTTCTAATTGTATACACGATTTTTCACACCTTTAGTTTTTTAGTTATAATTTTTTATGATGTAAAAGCTCAAAACTAAAATCCAACTATTAACAAGTAAGGAAGGGCTAAGTTCGGATGTACCCAAACATTTTATACTCTCGCAAAGTCAAATGGTATACTCGTTTGAGATTTCTTTGTGGATTGACTGATATTTTCGGTAGAAGGTCAACTATAGGCACTGGGGTCCACATATTTAGTACTTAGGGGCTTGAACAGTTTTGTTCAAGTCCCGTTAAAACGAAAATGTACGCATTATAGTTCTATAAAAGTATTGATATGCAACATAATTTTCTTTCTATTAAAATTAATTCAAAAATTGCTTAATATATTATAAATATATCATATTTCCTGAGACATTTGCGTTTAAAATTGGTTTTTCAAATATTTTAGCGCTATACGCAGATTTATGTGGGCAAATGCATATTAATTTATTATTGACAATATGTCCATGTCTACTTTCTAAAATTCGAATTTTCTTTTACAAACCTAAATAGTTCCCTCATTTTATAATTAAAAAAAAAGTATAGAATTACACATTTTGAAAAAAATTAAAAATAATATTTCGCCGGTTCCGAACCAACGACCCCACGAGCAGAAAGAAACAATTCTACTTTTCGAGCTATTGCTGAATGATATGCCATATTATGTATGTATGTACATACCATAAGCAATCCATGGTTGGATAATAAAAACAATGGGTCTGTACATTTTTGAGTTTTAATTGTTTTCGACCTAAGATGATTAAAATTTAAAACAAGCCTAAATTTTTGTCACCATGAGGCCTTGAAAAATTATATAATTCCTAGCAAAATAACAAAAATATTTTCTTGTACAATTTCATACATACATATGTAATGGGTTGGGTCAGTGAGCTTCAGCATACAAGTATAAAACTTTAACTCAGGTACTCGGGGATTGTCGTAATTGAACTTATCCCTATGAAGTGACATGCGATTTTATTATGGAGAGTGGGCAGGGTTATATAATCCGATTTCAACCATTTTTACAATTTCAAATGCAAACATATTTGTTCTGAGCAAATTTAAACCTACTAATTGCAGTATGTATGAATATACTTAAACCGTAAGTAATGGTAATGTGGTATATTGCCGTCTACCGGTCTGTGATTTTAATAATAATAGCTTAAACACAATACGAGCGAAGACGAATATTCGTCGTACTCGGCGACAACACAAGTGAATGCACCACCTGCTTTGGCGCTTTGACTGTCGCTCTCTCTGAAGACAAATATAGTGATTTATAGCTAGAAGTAGCGCCACTTTATAGCATCACACATACACACAACTCGCTCCCACTTTGGTATAAGCCTCAGATTAATTTCTTAATACATTTGAATTTATTAATTTAAAATTTGGTTTAGACCACTCAGAAGTCGTTTTATCCGTTAAAACCGAGCGATCATCGAAGAAACATCATCTCAAATATGCCATAAGACAAAATTTGGGATGAAGTTCATAAACCTCACGCTGTCAGATAAAACGATATACCTCCTCATCGTGGGCCCGAATACTTTGAATTGAAAGAAAGTAAATGAAGACTGACTACAGAAATGATCCTGTGAAGTATAGTCTAACTTTAACACACCAAATGGCAAACACTTAAGGTGAACTGCTGATAAAGTAGTTGAGAACTAAAACAAGCGCTGCGAATGCAACAAAAAATATGTATACAAAATGTTGATGAACGAGAAATACTGTGAATAATTTAAACAACAAAAAACCTATGAGATTGAGCATTTGCTAACGCTTCATTAAATTTAGTGGTGTACATAAAAGCGAAGCACATATAGATTCATACATGTATGTGTGTATGTATCTTTATATTTGAGTTACCTAAGAAGAGTGAGATAAAGCTTCCAGGTAGCCAGGTAGTTAGAATTAAATACCTACGGTGCTAAATAAAGAATGTGAATTGAATTTTCTTACAAAACGAAAATTATTGTAATATTAGAAATTTTGAAAATTAGTCATGTTATAAATGTAGTATGTACATTAGGGTTAAACAACGAATGGTTTTTCTGCTTGGTACTCGAAAATTGGTTCGTAGGACAAGCTCTATAGATCAGCTTGTTATTGTAACAAAAGGTCCTTCGGTTTCGGTTAGCTGTGTTTTTCTTATGATCGATAGAAAATTCATATCCCGTTTCCAAATACTTGAAATTTGTTTTATGTATGTACATATTTTGTAGGAAATTGAATGTCTACAAAGTGGTTTATTACGTTTTTCGCAAACCTAACTCGTTTAAAAGATATTAAATCCAAGTTTGACTATATTTTAATGCAAATTGTTTTTCTTTGAATTTTATAACTCAATTAAAACATTATTTTCAATTGCAAGCTCATAGTTTTGTAGGAAATTTATCATATGTATACAAATCGACGAGCTGAGTCGATTTAGCCATGTTCGTTATCTGTTGTATATGGTATAGCGACTAGTTCCTCAGTTTTGAGATAATGATCGAATATTTGCACAGGTCCTATTCTCCCAAGAAGTGCTTATTTTGAACTTATATCGGACCAATTTAGCATATAGCTTTATACAAACTGATCGATCAAAATCAAGTTTATGTATGAATAATTGTTGTATTTAACCAGATATCATCAAAAATTTGATAAAACAGAAAACGATACAATCTCGAAGAAATTGTTCATACCATATAGACTGATCGATCAGAATCAAGATAAAGATCTTTTACATCCCATAGAAATGTAGCTGAGGTTTTATAGTTTCGGTGTATCTGAGGTTAACGTCTTATCAAAAGTAGTGCCATGAAGTATAAAGCGATTTTCTTTGGTCAAAAGAATATCTCGCACTGAGACTATAAGTTAATTAAGTAAACTTAACGTTAACATTATCATTAAATAATTTCAGAATGTATGTATGTACATATATCTGGAGAAATATTTCGGATATTAGTTTAGGCTGCTTGGTATCTAAAGGTACTTATTCGAGAATTTACTGTTAACTCCCAATGTATTTACATAGATAGGATTAAAAGTGACTAGGATAAAGTTACAACTCTGCTGTCGTGCTAAAACCATTGTTGTTCATAGAACATAAAACACTTTGAA